CTTCTTCTTCTTCTTCTTCTTCTTCTTCTTCTTCTTCTTCTTCTTCTCCTTCTCCTCCTCCTCCTCCTCCTCCTTCTCCTTCTTTCTCCTCCTCCTATTCCTCCTCCTTTTTTGAGGCAGTTGGCATATAGTAACCCAGGCTTGCCTGGAACTAGGAATGTAGCACAGGATGACCTGAAACTTCCAGATTCTCCTGCCACTGCCTCACAAGGGTTGGGGTTATAGGCATGTCCCACCACTCCTGGCTGTATATGAATGTATTTAAAATTAGGTAACTTAGTAATTATTTCAATCCAACAACTTATAGTTAACCTTCCCCTCTCCATGTTTCAAGTTCTTCCTCAGTGAGGCATTGCACTCCAGTTCTTTTAGATATATTTATTCATCTGCTCCATCAGTTAGCAGACTGTTAGCTGTAACCGCTCCTAACTGCACATGCTGTCTCTTCCGTCTGTCATGCTGTCTCCCCTCCCACCAGCTCCATTTCATTGGTGCCTAGGGAATATTGCCACCTACACCAGGCAACTTTCTCTTCCCCACTCTACCATTTTTTTGGATACCAGGCTTTGCTGCAGATGACTATGCAAAAAACCCCGGCAGCCTCATTGCTGGCTGTCTTAGAAACTGACTTCTCTGTGCTGGGGAGGCGAGGGAAGAAAGGAAGAAAGAAAGAATGGGTGAAAGGTAAGAAGGCAGATTATGGATGTGTTTTGAATAGGGAGCTCATAGGATTTGGAAGTAGACCTAATATAGAGAGCATGGGAAAGGAGTAAACAGTGATTTTAAGGTTTTTGGCTTGAGCCACCAGGAGAACTGAATGCCATTAATAAGTGATAGAAACAATAGAAGTCTTGATGGGAGTGATGAGAGCTCATTTTGGAGTGTATTAAATTGGAGGAGATGTAAGCGCAGTGTGCTACCCATACTTCTTGACATTATCACCTGGAGATACATATTTGGGAATGCCTGGCACCGAGATGTTGTTTAAAGCCATAAGTTCATTGGAGTTTCAAAGAGGGAACATTTGATAGGAAAATTTGCTGATCCCAGGACCAGTTTACAATTCCAGAGATGGGTAGGTAGGGTCAGTCAGTGAGGCGGGAGGAAGATCAGGGGGATGCAGTGTTTTGGTAGCTAAGGGAAGAAAATGTTTCAACAAATAAGAAAGGATAAGCTATCAGATGCCTCTTGGTTTGTCAGGAGAGGCAAAGACTGTGGATTTGCTGTTGAATTTGGTAGTGTGGAGGTCACTGGTGACACCAATAATGTGTATGGAGTGTGGTGCTTGGCTGGAGGTTTCGGAAAGAATGGGAAACATGAAAGACAGCAAATGTAGAAAACTTGGAGGAGTTTTAGATAAGACACATTCTCCCAGCCTTCTGTGTGCATGATTTTTGGCTCTGGAGCTAAGTTTAAAGTGGCTTTTTCTGACGGGTGTGGATAGCATGGAGTTACTGCTATCTACACGTTATTGCTGTGTTCTATTTTGTTGATGAAAGATTTCTGTCCTTGGTCAGCCAATATCTTTGTTACTGTTCTGTTCCACCATGACCAAGGCAACTTATAAAAGGACACATTTAACTGGGGCTTGCTTACAGTTTCAGAGGGTTAGCCCATGATTGGCGTGCCTGGGAGTCTGGCTCAGGCATGGCACTGGAGCAGTAGTTAAAAACTTATGTCCTGATCTGCCGGCAGCTGGCAGACAGAGTGAGACTAGGTCTGGCATGGGCTTTTGAAACCTCAAATCCCAGCCCCAGTGACACACCTCCAACAAGGCCACATCTCTTAATCCTTCTTAAACAGTTCACTAACTGGGAACTAAGCATTAAAATGTTTTCACCTATGGGTGCCGTTCTAATTCATATAATCAGAAACGGATCACTGGGCTGGCAGGGGAGCCAATGAAAATCCCTGCAGGAGTTTAGTACAAAGGAGGACCTGGAGCTGGGAAACTCCTTTTTAAAGAGTTCTGCAAGTGTTAGGGAAGGGAAACTTTACAGATTGTAGCAAGTATTGGGCCTTGTCAGCCTTTACCGTCTTCTAAACTTTTTTATTAGATTTTTAAAAAATACCAATCCAAGTTCCCACTCCCCTCCTCCCATTTCCTCCACATGCCCTCCCACCCCACCCCCATCCAGTCCTCAGGGAGGGTAAAGCACATTTCTTTGCGGAAGATCCAAGGCCCTCCCTTCTATATCTAGGCTGAGCAAGGTATACATCCAAAGAGAATAGGATCTCAAAAAGCCAGTACATGCAGTAGGGATAAATCCTGGTGCCACTGCCAGTGGCCCCTCAGTCTGCCCCAGCCATGAAACTGTCAACCACATTCAGAGGGACTAGTTTGGTCCTATGCTTGTTCTTTCCCAGTCTGGCTGGTGTTGGTGAGCTCCCATTAACTCAGGTAAACTATTTCAGTGGGTGAACCCATCATGGTCTTGACCTCTTTGCTCATAGTCTCATTCCTCCCACTCTTCAACTGGAAGCTCAGTTCAGTGCTCCGATGTGGGTCTCTGCCTGTTTCTATCAGTTGCTGGGTGAAGGTTCTGTGGTGATATTTAAGATAATCATCAGTAGCCAGAACCTGGAAACAACCAAGATGCCCCTCAACCAAAGAATGGATAAAGAAAATGTGGCACATTTACACATTAGAGTACTACTCAGTGGTAAAAAACAATGACATCTTGAATTTTCCTTGTAAATGGATGGAATTAGAAAACACTATCCTGAGTGAGATAAGCCACACCCAAAAAGATGAATATGGTATGTACTTACTCATGAGTGGGCACTGGCTATAAACGAAGAACATTGAGCCTATGGTTCATGATCCTTCTAAACTTTTTTTTTAATGTAGACTATTGGAGAATCTTTTTTTGTCCATATTTTTCTTTATTTATAAGGAAACCTTACTAAAAATTAGGATATACTTCAACTTACCGAAATTTAGACAAGTCTTTTTATTATTTATATAGACTTTTCTATGTTTACTTTCATCTCTCTCTCTCTCTCTCTCTCTCTCTCTCTCTCTCTGTGTGTGTGTGTGTGTGTGTGCATGTGAGTGCATGTACATGTGTGTGTTCATGTTGGGTGTCTTTTTCAGTCAGTTCCATCTTATTTTTTTTCAATTAAATTTTCTTGTGTGTGTGTGTTGGAGTGAGGGTGGGCGTGCTACAGTGCATGTGCAGAGGTCAGGGGACAGCCCTGTGGAGTTAGTTCTCCTTCCACCCTGTGTGGCTTCTGGGGATAGAACTCAGGTCCTCAGACTTGTGCTGCAGATGCTTTACTGCTGAGCCATCTTGTCACACTTCTACTTTTTGTTTTGTTTTGTTTTTGAGACAGTCTCATATTGAAGCTGGAGTTCACTGATGTGTCTAGCTGGCACTAGGGCTCCACCTTTCTCTGCCTCCCCAGTGCTCCGATTACAGATATGTGTAGCTGTACCTAACTTTTTTCACATGTTCTGGGGAGCCAAGCCCATGTTCTTGTGATGTTCACAAGCTCGAGCTTGTCAGTAGTAGCAGGGCCTAGTGGGAAACTAACAGATCTGCCACAGGGTGCAGAGTTGTTCCACTGTTAGGCTCATGAGTGACAGCTGCTTTCTTTGTCCCTCTTTATTCCAGAGTCTACGTTGTTTGCTGAACTTGGCTACTTCACAGATGCTGATGAGGTGCAGTTCGATGCAGCAAATGAAACTTACGTAAGTCCTGGAGGAGAAATAGTGAATGACTTGATGTTTCATCTACACTGTGATTAATGCACGAGGGCTTCAGACAGTAGGTTAGGCTAGTAGCTAAATGACATCATTAATCAGGAATATTAGTAGCTCCTTTGCAGTCGGCAAATGCAGAGCTACAAAGTTCCTGAGTGCTGGTTTGAGAAGACTTGTTGGCTTAGCATATATTTAGTCTTAGGGGTGGTGACCTTGGGAAAGTCAGTTTTTTCTTTTTATTTTGGAGACAAGGCTTCACTCTGTAGTCTTGGCTGGTCTGGGAATTACTGTGTGTCTCAGCTGGCCTGCAGTTCCTCGCAGTCCTCTCGCCCCAGCCTTCTGAGAGCTGGGGTTCCAGGGCTGAACCACTGCACCAAGTCCTAGCTCTTGAGTTTTAGATACTTTGCGGGTCGTGGGAATAGCAGTAATAAGAGGCACGGTGAGTCAGATCTAGTCAAGCTTACCGGCTTCCTTTTTAAGAGCTCTAAAAATTAGTCATATTTTTACCTTTGTGATTACTCAGAGAACTATATAAAAACTGTTATTGGAGGCCTGGAGAGATGGCTTAGTGGCTAAGAGCACTGGTTGCTCTTTCAGAGGACCCTGGTTCAATTCTAAGCACCTACATGGCCTCTAACAACTGCTTATAACTCTAGTTTGAGAGGATCTGGAGTCTGCAGACACTGTACACACATGCTGCACAGACATACATGCAGGCAAAACACATCTACATAAAATAAAAATAAATTAATTTTAAAAGCTTATTATAATTCTGTGAGCCATTAAAATGACTTAGGTTGTTTTTTTTTAATTTTTTTTTTATTTTTATTTTTTTAGTGACAAGGTCTCATTATATGGTCCTACCCGGACTGGAACTTGCTATGAAGTGTAGCTTTGAATTCACAGAGATACACCTGCCTCTGTCTCCCATAATTTATTAATTATGTATACAGTGTTCTGTCTGCATATATGCTACAGGCCAGAAGAAGGCACCAAATCTCAATATAGATGGTTATGAGCCACCATATATGTGGTTGCTGGGAATTGAACTCAGGACCTCTGGAAAATCAGCCATTGCTCTTAACCTCTGAGCCATCTCTCCAGCCCCAGGTTTTTTTTTTTTTTTATTAATATATACATATAGCTGGTTGCCTCATTCTTTATTACCTTTACCTGCTGAGTTGTCTTATTGGTCTTAAAAATGGATTTTGGGTTTATTTGTTGAATTCATAAAGATTTTAGAAGTTCGAGAACCACAGAGTGGTGGGGAAGAACATTGTCTAATAGTACTTACCACCTCCATGATACCTGCGTTGTTTTTGGCTGTGTCTGTGTCTTTCTTTTACAGGGAGAGGATATGAATAACTGTTTGTTTGGACTTGTTTATCTAAAACATCTCTCTTGTTGGATCTGGATCTCTCTATGGCAAAAGATTCATTTTGTGAATTTTATTTTATTTTTGACAAGATTTCTCTGTGTAGCTTTGGAGCTTGTCCAGGCTGGCCTCAAACTCACTGAGATCGGCCTGCCTCTGCCTCCCAAGTGCTAGGATTAAAGGCTTGCGCCACCAACACTTGGCCATAGAAGAAACGGACTCCATGACTCCAAGATTAGTGAGATTTATTCTCACCATTTTGTGAATCTTTAATGTTCTGTTTTCACAGAAAGGAGTAAATCTCAGTAATCTTTGACTTATGGAGGCTATTACCTCTTCTAGTTGTTCTTGTCCTTCCGCGAGCCAGAATCTCTGTATCTCTGGGTTCTCTAAAATGTGTTTGCAGTGTGAAGTGGTTGGCTTAAATTCTTTTTATTAGATTGGGTAGTAGTAATTATGTTATCCATAGTAAACTCCCTGATGGTTTGATTCCAAGGTATGTGTATTTTGTTCTAATCATTTGCTGGTATGACACCTACAGGAAAATCATTTTGATCATCTTAACTTTGATTTGGATTTGATGCCTTGGGAATCTGACATTTGGAGCTCCAGTAGCCACTTCTGCTCAGGTAATGATGTGCTTCACCCTTCAACGCTCCTGCCAGACTCTTGGGATAGTTCGTAATACTTGGATTAAGTGGTTTAGAAAACCCCGGACAACTATGTTTATGAAATGAAAAGGATGAGGTTAGGATTACCAGCAGATAGGATCCCGATAGTGGAGTCTCCTGCATTTGATGTACCTTCTTCTGAGCAAAGGGCACAACTTGGCTAATGTATTTTTCAGGTGATCCAAACCTTGTAATGGCAACAGAGAGAACAGGAAATTGGCTGAAACATTGTATTTGTTTCCTGTGTTGGTTACCTAGTGTCTAATGATAGGCGGTCCACAGTCTGTTCTTCAGAGCAGATCAACACACCATAAAACCCTTGTTATTTGAACAGAGAGTTCAAGTGCAGTTTTACAACAGTTTACTTTGGATTTTAATGTTCAATTTAATTTTTAAAAACTCAGATTTAAAGTTTATGAGTGTGAGTGTTTTGCCTTCATGTATGTCTGCACTGCTGTGTGCCTGATGCCCAAAGAGAGCAGAAGAGGGTGTCTGAGCCCCTGAACTGGAGTGTGAGGAATTGAACCTGGGTCTTTTACAAGATTAGTCAGTTCTCCTCCCTCCCTCCCCTCCCCTCCCCTCCCCTCCCCTCCCTCAATTCTTTTTCTTTGTTAGTTTCTAACTACTGAGCCATCTCTAACTCTAATCTCATTTTTTTTTTTTTTATAAAACTTGTATTTCTCTTTAGCCCTGGCTAGAGTTATCACACATGAGAGTCCTTTCAGAGGTTCCATTTTCCCTGACTTCATGCAGCTTCTCGGCCACTCAGGTTTTGTTCTACAGTTTTGTTATTTAAGACCCTTGAGCCAACCTACTATAGGATAAAAATTAGACTTTTTTTTCTTCAAAAGAAAATAACATTCTCATAACTTATAGCTTCTTCTTACTAATACATCTTACCTTGTTTGTTAACTAGATATGAATGTTATTCCCTTTAATCTCTATTAATCTTTTTTCTGGTGTGTGTGAGTGTGGTGTATGTGTGTAGTATATATATTTATGTGTGTGTAGAGGCTAGAGGAATTGTGTCCCCTCCTCTCACTTAGAAACATTTTTCTGTGTATGAATGTTTCATTCACATGTATGTTTGCGCACCGTGTGAGTGCCTGTTGCCTGTGGAGGTCAGAAGAGGACATCAGCTCCCCTGGAGCTGGAGTTATGGACAGTTGTGAGCTGCCACATGGGTGCTGGGGATCAAACCCAGGTCCTCTGTTAGACCAGCAAGTGTTCCTAACTGTTGCCTCATCTCTCTAGTCTCCTCTGTCACCTTCTGAGTTATTTCTTTGAGACAGGGACTCTCCCAGAACCCAGAGCTCATGCTTCTTGGTGAGGCTGGCAGCTAGTAGCATTGTTTGTTTGTTTGTTTTGTTTGTTTCTGAGATAGGGTTTTTCTGTGTAACAGCCCTGGCAATCCTGGAACTCACTTTGTAGACCAGGTTGGCCTCAGTTCACTGAGACCTGCCTGCCTGTGCTTCCCCGAGTGCCTGGATATGCCACCACCACCTAGCACACTGATATTTTTAAGGGAATATGATAGGATTGGGTTTGAGTGTGCTGAGAGAACCTGGGACTGGTTGTTACTGATAGGCCTGTGAGACCCTCACCCCTTATTCTCAAAGGGGCAAGAAGAAATTTCCTAGCAGAATGTTTTCCCAGAAAGATAATGGCCTTCCCCTCTCCCACCCAGGAGATTCCGAGCACAAGGTCACTTAGCTCAGCCCAGCCAGCCACCTGGTACAGGCTGATAAAGATGGCCTAACTCAAGAACAGTGGCCTTGCTCTAAAAACAAGGAAAAAGCTGACTTAACAGAATGGGAGGGAGCAAAAGTCCTTGTACCCATGCCAAAGCATCTTCAAAGATTCTCTTTTTAGTTACGCCTTTAAAAGCAAACCCCACAGAGGAGATACAACTCCTCTCTACCTTGTTGTAACGGGCATGGAGAAGAGTTCCAAACATGTTTGTATTATGCTGATTAATCCTTGCTTTTTACAGTCTGGGCCTCTCTGATGGTCTCTCTCTGGGGGTCGTAATCTGGGCACAACAGCCAAGGCTGATAAGAGAAATTGAGGGATGTTTTCTCCTGTCTTCTAGTATGTTTCCTTCTTGTGTGCCCCAACTATACTGTCTAAAAGGAAACTTAGAAATATATTAATAATTAGTGTCACAGATTATAGGAATTGAGATAGAGTGCATATCATCAACACATTTTCCCTGTTAAATACCTTCCCATCTCTACCCTTCCTATTCTCCTTCCTTTGATGTTCTTATTTTGTTCAATTCCTGTGTTCTGTCATAGAATATGGGTTACAGGAGTGTTCTCCAGTCCAGATTCCTGATCCATAGACTCTGGGAACCTAATATGATGGTTGTTTTAAGCTTCTTAGATTTAGTTACACAGTAGTAATTAGAAAACTGGGGTGGGATGTAGCTCAGTAGTAAAGTGTTTATGTAGCATGCAGAGTCCTGAGATTGACATTCAGCACCCCAAAAACAACAGCAATAGCCAACCAACCAACCAACCAACCAGACAAACAAAAGCCAAAAATGTAGCAGAAAACCAAGAATCTAGTGAGAATATTGACCTTGTATTTTCTATATTCTATGGTGGGAGTCAGGAGCTGAGCAAGATCAGTAAGAGCGTAAAATGAAGGGGAAGAGATCAGTAGGATTTAGATGGGAGAATGCTGGTTACTCTTGTTTCTTTTCTCATTTTGTGTATGGTATATATAATATTGAAAATATAAAAAAGCTTATAGAGTAGAAGAGTGTTTCTCCTACTGTTCCTCAGCCAAGATAGGAAGTACCAATTATGTAATCAATTTCTCCCTTTGGGCTCTCCTGAGAGTTAGTGCAGATGCAGCTTCCTACAGGAGTGGAAGTGTACACTGTTTGCTGATCCTGAGTTTTTCATTTTAAGAGACCATTTTACCTTCTTTTTTACTCAGTGTTTTACATTTGTATGGAATTGAGTGTAAAACCTTTTCTCCATGTCTTTCAGTTAAAGATATTAAGACAGAACCCCAGCCTCTTTCTCCAGCTTCAAGTTGTTCAGTCTCATCTCCTCTGTCCATAGACTCCTGTTCGTCAACGCAGCATGTTCCTGTAAGTGGCTAGACTATTGTGATGTTCTAATGGGGGAGGCAGCTGGCACTATGTGTTTCAAGGAACCTTATTCCTCTGAGGAAAATGTGACTTGACAAGGGACTCTTGGGATTGAGAAGGCTGTTAGCTTCCTAGGTTTGGCTCACCCCCCTTTGTTCTTACTTTCTTAATGTCTAATGGGCTTTGCTTGTTTGATATTTGCTTCCTGCACTTCCTTTTCCTCTCTACTAGGGTATACGTTCTTTAAGGACATGGAGGAATGTAAGATTTATAATTTCTGGCTCACAGAACCTGGGATATGATCTGTTTAGTTCAGAAACTCCTACCATTGTCTTTGGAATGAACTGAGATCTTTACAAAAGTCTGGTAGCTCCTTTGGAATGTGTCTGTCTCAGCTTTGAGGTCAAGAAAATGAAGTACCTGATTAAATATGAAAAAGGTAAAACACAAGAAGAAAAGTCAAATTAATGTTTCATGTTTTATCTGTTGTAAATTGAGGTATCTTCATTCTGAAAGGTTCTATATTTAACCAATTACTAAATCTTGGTGATTCTATTCTCTCTCTCTCTCTGTCTCTCTGTCTCTCGTGTGTGTGTGTGTGTGTGTGTGTGTGTGTGTAGACGACAACCTTCAGGAGTTAGTTCTTTTCTTCTCCCATGTTGGGGATCAGACTAAGTTTCTCGGGCCTGCATGGCAAGCTTTTTTACCTGCTGAATCATCATCTCTCCAGCCCTTTTTTCACTTACTATTTCTAAGATTAGTTGTTTTTTAACCTTTTCCCAGGCCATCATCATCTGACCTTAGGATACAAGACATTAGGATTTTAACTGGCGGGCTGCCTACGAACCCTCCAAACCTTTCTTAGTAGAGTCATCTTCAAAGATAAATCTAAAATTACAAAATTGACTATGTTCTTTGTCTCTAAACCTTTTAATAACTTCCAGATACTTAAAGCATGACATTCAAATCATCTGTGTGCTGAGTCCTTCAAGATCTGTCCATGTTTATCTCTAGCTGTTTCAGGCTTGCTTTACTGCTTTGTGTTGCACCTCCCATCTTCAGACTCCGCTTAGCTTGAGCCCTGTGCGTCTCTGAGAACTGCACTCGGCACATGCAGTCCTGTGCTAGGCGCTTTGCAGCGCTGGGCTGTGCTCTGGAGACAGCTTCTAACCGTAGGGCTGTATTAGTGACGTTTCCTGTTGCCATGACAGAACCCCTACCCGAAATAACTTAGGAAGTAAAGGTTTATTTTGGTTGCATTTGTCTTGGAAGGGAAGGTATGGCAGCCGCGGAGTGAGGCTGCTGCTCTCCTTTTAGCTATGGTCAGAAAGAAGACAGATGAATGTTCCACTTTGCTTGTTTTCTGTGCGTTTGAAGATGGGCCCTCAGCCCATGGAATGGTTCTTCGCACATCTAGGGTGGGTCTTCACAGCTCAGCCTAATCAAAAATCCCTCATGGATATTCCCTAGAGATTTGTATTCAAGGCGATTCTAGAGCCTGTCCAGTTAATAACATAAACCATCATAGTTGTCAAGGGTGACTTCACACTTGTGATCCTGCTGCCTCAGCATCCCACGTGCTGGGATCACAGAGGGTTTTTTTTTTTTGTTTTTTGTTTTTGGCACAGGGTTTTCCTGTGTAACAGTCCTAGCTGTCTTGGAACTAGCTTTTGTAGACCAGGCTGACCTCGCACTCACAGGGATTCACCTGCCTCTGCGAGTGCTGGGATTAAAGGCATGCGCCACCACCATCCTGCAAGAGAGTCTACTTGGGTAAAAGTAGAGTCTACTGGGTTGCCCAGGCTGGATTCAGTGCAGGAATGTGACACTGTGTCTGCCCTGGGTTCTTTTTTTTCCTTTTGTTTTTTTGTTTGTTTGTTTTTGAGGCAGGGTTTCACTATCTAGCCCTGTCTGGCCTGGAACTAATTTGGAGATCAGTCTGGTCTTGAACTTGTGTAGATCTTTCTGCCTCAGCCTTCGGAGTGCTAAGATTAAAGATGTGTTTCAGGGTACTCAGCCTGGTTTTCTCTTATTGTTTTTAATTTCTATATTTATATAAAATATAAGTATAAATATATAATATAATTAAATATATAACAAATATAAATATATAATTAAATAAATATACAAACTAAAATATAAATATATGTATTTTATAAATAAAAATATATTTATTATTATGGTTACTACTAGTACTGCTGTTATTATTATTGATACCCTTCCTCATCTTCATTTCTTTTTTCTGCCTACTACTTCTCTTCCTCCTTTCTATTTTTCCTTCTCCTGTTTTTCAAAAGGTTTTTATCACTCATAAAAACATTCTCTAATGTTTATTTATTGATTGATTGATTTTGTTTTTGTTTTTGTTTTTTGAAGTAGGGTTTCTTCCTCTGTGTTGCTCTGGCTGTCTTGGAGCTCATTCTGGACCAAACTGGCCTTGAACTTAGACATCTACCTGCCTCTACCTCTCTCTCCTGGGATTAAAGGCGTATGCCACCACCTTCCGACTATGTTCTTATTCTTTTTATCTTGCTACATTGTCATTTGGAGTAACCTTAAATTTGTAAGTATTTTGCGGAGATTTTTGTCTAAACCGTTTGAGAGGCAGTTGCCCCCTGATGGACTGAACTCCAAATACTTATCACGTCTACCCCCTATGAACAAGAATATTTTTTATTGAACAATACAGCCATCAAAACAAGGAACTAAACATTGATATATAATAATAATTTTATGTGTAGCCCCCATTTAGATTGTGTCAGGTTCTCCAGTACTATCCTTTAAAACAGCAAAAGCATCCAGTTATAGCGTATGTAGTTTTCTTACTGTCTTATTTTTCTTCATTCTGGAACAATTCTTTTTTCTTGACCCGTCACTTGGATTGCCAGGTGTTTCTTCAGGATTGGATTCAGATTTTTGTATCTATGATAGGAATGTCATAGACAGATTCTGTGTCTGCCTTTTGTTTTGTCTTTGAGATAAGATCTGTTCAAGCTGTCTTTAAAGTTGTTACTTAGTGGAAGATGACCTTGATTGATTCTCCTAGCTCTCTGTCTTCCAAGAGCTGAGGTAATAGGCACAAGCCACCCACCGTCTATCTTCTCATTTATTTTTGATGCTAAAGGTTCAGTGTGGTGACACAATTTCAGCTTGTACCGTTAGTGGGGTGGTCATCTCAGTTAACTCCAGCTCCCGCTAGACGCACAACTATGGAGTTATTCTCTCTCTCTTTGCTAGTTGCTGGTATTTTATGAAAAAAGACACTTTAAAATCATGAAAAAGTCCTGCTCTTACAAAAGGAACATTTACATTTTTATTTTCTGTATGTGTATGATTGTGTGTGTATTCGTGGATAGGTCACGGGGAATGTGTGGAAGGCAGACTCTGCCATGTGGGTTCTGGGATTGAACTCAGCGCACTTATTTATATTACTTGTTTGCCTATTTGTATTAGTGTGGGCTCATTGTTGCCCATTTCATTTAGATTATATATAATCCATTGCTGTGGTCATTTATTCCTTTTGTTCCTGTGATCTTTTGCTTTTTTCATTGTGCTTAGCCATCTTACATCAAGGCTCTCTCCTAGGCCATTGCCTCGCCCTTGCCCTGACTTCTCAGATCACATGGTTCCCCTTGTGAATGCTCTCCCTATTCTTCTGGTGCTCTGGCAAGTCCCCCAGGCATGGATGATGGTCCTGCAGCTCCATCTAGTGGCTAATGGTTAAATTATTCAGGAAGAAAATTTTTAAAAATTTATTTATTTATTTATTTATTTATTAAAAATTTCCACCTCCTCCCCACCTCCCTTTTCCCTTCCCCTCCTGACCTCCCCCTCCCTCTCTAGTCCTAAGAGCAGTCAGGGTTCCCTGCCCCGTGGGAAGTCCAAGGTCCTCCCTCCTCCATCCAGGTATATAAAGGTGAGCATCCAAACAAACCAGGCTCCCACAAAGTCAGTCCATGCAGTAGAATCAAAACCCAGTGCCATTGTCCTTGGTTTCTCAGTCAGCCCTCATTGCCAGCCACATTCAGAGTGTCCAGTTTGATCACATGCTCCATCACTCCTAGTCCAGCTGGCCTTAGTGAGCTCCCATTAGATCAATCCCATCGTCTCAGTGGGTGGATGCACCCCTCGTGGTTCTGACTTCCTTGATCATGCTCTCCCTCCTTCTGCTCCTCATTTGGTCCTTGGGAGCTCAATCCAGTGCTCCAATGTGGGTCTCTGTCTCTATCTTCATCCATCACCAGATGAAGGTTCTATGGTGATATGCAAGATATTCATCAGTGTGGCTATGGGTTTTTATGTGTTAATACAAATTTCTCATAAGGTTTTATTTTTAATATATAGATCTCAGATTAATTTGAAATTATCTTATATGTACTACAAGATACAGGCTTAATTTTATGTTTCCCCAAATTATTATCAAAAGGTTTATGCCAATATTATTTCTTAAAAGATTTATTTTTCTCCTAACTGATTTCAGTTACAGGCATATATTTTAAATTTATGCAAATGATATTAGGTCTACTATTTAAATGTTTATTATTATTAATTTATATTTGGGTATTGAAACAAACTCGTGCTTTGCAGTTCAAGCTAGCCTTGAACTCAGTGATACTCTGCTTTAGCCATTTGAGTGATGAGGTTATAAGGGCGTCCTGGATTTTATTTACTTTTAAAGATTAATTCATATTGCTCTCTATATATAACATCTGTTGCATCTAACTGCATATTTTGATAAACATTCATTATATTTTACCCATATCATGAAGAATATTGTGAAAAAATATTCTCTTGTGGACCTGTGTCCACACAGAATCCCTTTGGGAGGTATGTTCAAGAATAGAAAAAGTGGGTGGCCGGCCACAGTAAGTTGTCTTGTGCACTTCTCTGTTTACATATGTTCTTGTTTCTAAGTAATTTGTTGCCCAAAGAATGTACTCGTGGACATCAATTTGTTTGTGTTTTGCTGCAGGAGGAGTTGGATTTGTCTTCCAGCTCTCAGTCTCCCCTGTCCTTATATGGTGAAAGCTGTAACAGTCCGTCCTCTGTAGAGCCTCTCAAGGAAGACAAGCCTGTCATTGGTCCTGGAAACAAAACTGGTATCTGTCTGTCTCCCAGTTTCTATTATTTCTATTTTAGATAATGTAGGTTCCATTTTTAAAAACCAAATATTGGATTAAGCATATATTAAGCTGGCTTATATTTTTAAATTAGTGTATCATTTTAAATTAGTGTTTTATGTATATGGGTGTTTTATCTGCATTTATGTATGTGAATCAGCTGTGTGCCTCCTGCCTCCAGACGCAAAAAGAGAGCTTCAAATCTCCTGGAACTAGGATCATAGGTAGTGGTAAGCTGTTCTAGATTTCAGGTCTTCTTGAAGAGCAACCAGTACTCTTAAGTGCTGCGCCATCTTTCCCCCCTACATGAGTATATTATATAGTTGTTGTTCCTGAAAGATTTCTGTGTAGAGGACAAGGGAATAAAGTCTTGTGATGGTCTTTGTGTTCACAGGTGAAATATACTTAAAATAGATATAGATTCTGTCATCTTCAGGAGGGGTTGTAAAGGTCCTGGCAGAGACTGAATGTGAGAGGTGATAACTCTTACCTCATACTAGTCTAGACATTATTCAGTAATTTTAGCATCATCCTTACCAATTCATGGTCCCCCTTCTCAAGGCTGCAGAAAGGACAATCCCAGAGTGAGGGTTTCCTTCTGTCCAGTCATGGAAAGAACAAACACTCACCGATGATTGTTCTTAGAAGTCAAGATAATACATAGAGGAAAGTATTTAATATAATATTTTTTTATTTTTTTTAGATTGATTTGAGGTTTTTTTTTTTTTCCTCCAGAACATGGACTGACTCCAAAGAAAAAAAATCAAATGAGTTCAAAACCTTCAGTTCAGCCCAAGCCTTTATTACTTCCAGCAGCACCCAAGACTCAACCAAATGCCAATGTTCCAGCAAAAACCATCATTATTCAGACACTACCAGCCCTTATGCCACTGGCAAAACAGCAATCGATTATCAGTATACAGCCTGCACCCACTAAAGGTACCTGTGTAGACTATGGTGCTCTGTGTTTATTGGAAAGCGCTAAGGCTTATATAACGTGATTTATTTTAATTTGGGTTATAATTTTTGAGCATGCACTATGGTGTCAGGAATTTCCTTGGATCTGAGAATTTTGCAGAGATGACTAATGTAGTTCCTGTCCTTGTGGGAACAGAGTTCTACAGATCACTGATATCTGTTGCCTCTTCTTTTCTTACAGATTTTATTGTGATAATATCTGTATTTAGGGCACCAATTTTTTGTCCTTGTTGATTTCTTTTTTCTTTCTTTTTAAATTGTTTAAATTGATTTATTTTTTAAATCTTTTTATTTTTAATTTTTTTAAATTGTTAAAATAAAAATTTTATTTTATTTAAATTGTTTTATTTATTTAAATAGTTATACATATATATATATATATCAATATAAACAATATATATATATTCCTCTCCCTTCTTCCCCTTTTCCCTTCTACCTTCTCCCATATCCCTATCCTATTTCTTTTTTGAGAGAGAGTTTCATTATGTATCCTTTAGTGGCCTGGAACTCTATAAGTAGACCAGGCTGACCTCAAATCAACAGAGATCTACCCGTTTCTGCCTCCTGAGTGCCTGGACTAATGGTGTGCACCACACTTGACTGAGGCTTTTGGTACTGTGAAATCGTTTACAATGAAGAAAATTTGGGAGACTATTTTTGTATTGCTACTTCATTCTGAGATTATTGTAACTATGATCTTTTTTTGCTTTGTTTTGTTTTTGAGGGGTCGTTAGGATTTAAAATAATAAGGATTATTTCAAATCAAGTATGTGTTGCAATAACTCTGGCTCTTAATTTTTGAGGAGACTGTGTGGTTTGGTAAGCAAGGCATCGAACTAGGTTTTAGAAGAACTGACTGCTGCCAGCTAGCTCAGAATTGGTGTTTTTCTGTATTTTACCCACTAGATGGCCTCACATACTTGGGTCTACAAGAGAGTTTACTATTGAAAGAAGTTCAGGTTTGAGGGTTTGGTAATCTTGAGTTATGGGACATCTCCTAGGCTGCTTCGTCATCATTGTACTTGCACTGATCTCTGTACACATGGCTGTGAGAAGATTTATGCAGTACTCATTTCTCAGGATTGAATTTATTGGCAACATTTAGACTAGGAGTTAATAGGGCATGTGTAAGTAAACGTCGGTGTTACATTTACTTTTATGACTGTATTTGCATTTATGAATGGCTAGTTCATTTCTTTGGAGCATGGTTTCAATGAGAGAGGCTTCATAAATTTGATCTTATGTATTAGCCTTGTTTATTAAATGACCATAGGCAATTAGACATCAATAAAAAGAACTAAACAAAAAGGTTCCCAGATAAAAGAACAACGCTAATAGATAAAATAATTTGAAATGCCTTCCTCCATTTAGGATAAACTCTTTGAAATAAGGCAAAAGATTTACTGTATATTCATATATAGAGTTTTAGGAATAGTTCTTAAATCTTTTGCCAAGACCTCAAAATAATTTGTGTATTTCTGAAAGCTAAGAATTTAAGTTCATGAAGAACTTTCTTATAGTTCCCACAGCTATTAAAACATGTATAAAATTCTAAGTCTGATGCTAATATGGTCGTGTGTAAAGGAGGGATAGCCTCAAGAGTCAGTTGGCTTTAAACTGTTGGCTATGCTTGAGTGGTGGATCTCTGCTTGTTTGTTTTTTGAGAAAGGATTTCTCTGTGTAGCCCTGGTTGTCCTGGAACTCCCTCTGTAGACTAAGCTGACCTCAAATCCAGAGATCCACCTGCCTCTGCCTCCTGAAAGCCAGAATTAAAGGCGTGTGTCACCACTACTGACTGAGATATTTACTTATAACAAAAACCAGATCATTCTTTTCCAAGCATTTTATCAGTCCCAGAGGTTAAAAATCATACATTCTGAACTTCAGTGATTTCACATGATCTGAAGACTGTTTTTTTTTTGATGAGCATGTGCCAACAGATTGATTTTTATAATATAATCTATGGATTTTGGTATTAGTATTATAACTTGCAGATTAAATGTATATCTTTCATATATTATTATTTTAATTTGAGAGTGGAATGAGAGGAAGAAAGGACTAGGGTGATTGATTGCTCAGTCAGTAAAACGCTTCCCACATAAGCATGAGAACCTGAGTTCAGATGCCTAGCACCCACATAAAAAGCTGGGTAGGACACTCTAGTGCCTATGTGGAGATAGGCAGATCTCTTAGAGGTCACGGAGCAGCTTGTCTAGCTAACTGAGACGCTCCAGTTTCAGGGAGAGACCTGTCTCAACAAGTAAGGTGGAGAGTGAGCCACTGAAGAAGACACCTGTCATCAACCTCTGGCCTCAACACGCATGTACACACACTTGAAAACATACATATACTACATGAACAAAAGAAAAATGGCAGAGATGTAATACTTACAGATTTAAGTTCATATTCTCTAATGTGGGGTTAAAGTGCTTCACAATTTGGTTCCAACTTTACAGTATAGCTTCATTATTTTCTATAGAACTTTGTGCCAGTCTAACCAACCTGGCTTTGTCTATTGAATTCTGCCAACCTGAATTATTTCTCTATATTTTTGCTTCTAAGTCTTCTGTGCCTTGTAAGAATGTTGTAAGTAGTGCAGCTGAAAGATGATTAAAGCCTAGAATATCTGAAAATGGAGAACCAGGATGGCAAGTAGAGTTGTTACAAAGCCTAGCATTGTAGGGGGTGGTAATTAATGGTGAGCGTGTGTGTGTGGGAGGGAGGCCATGAAGGGCAGAGAGGAAAGTCTTTTTGGTGACGTCTATGTCTTAGACCTTTTTGATGATACCACAAATCTCTGAAATTAGGGGATGCATAAAGAGTGACATCTTGTAAGCAGGGATGGTAGAGTGAAGCCAACTTGTCTGATCAGCCAAGACTTAGTAATTAATTATATTATTATATTGTATTAATTAATCTTCTAAAAATGATGAAATGTAATCAGTTTTAGTCTCAGAATTCTGCCCTTTAATTGCGATTTAAATTTGTATAAATAGTTTCATACCAATTGTGAGGACTAGCGGGTTGATAGTGCATGGAAGCTACTATTACATAGAAAAAGGGCCAATAATGAATGTATGCTAAGCTGTTGTTATGTGCCAGACATTCTTCTAAGGGCTTCAATACATTATCTTATTTAATAGTTACATATCTCAAGTATCAATATTTTTATTTTATAGATGAGAAAACTTGGTGCAAAGAAATATTTAACCAAGTTGACACAAATATGTTAAAACAAAGTAGGTATTCCTTAAATGTTTGATATGTAGTTTGCAATCTTTGAAGAAAGTTAAGAAAGAACTGATCATGAAAATCAGTGGTCATATCATTCAGCATTGCATTCAGCATTGAATCCAGCTGTCTTCCATTAAGGGGATTTGCCTGTAATACTAGAGAGGATTTGGAGTATGCCAAAAGGATAAACCACCCTTTGGTGTGTTCTGTTTTATGTGTTTCCACAGCAGGAATAGTCCCTATGTTCAGCTGCTAACTACTGAATGCCCCAAACAGTCCTTTGCGTTGTAGCCTTTGGCCTGGTCAGCACTTAGCAAGTAACTGTGAGAGCCTTTTGTTCTTGGACAGACTGTAATAGAAATTTAGTGGTTCCTGCCATTCCATCTTGAACTTGAACATGCCTAAAATCTTTAGAGGACCCTTGATTTAGATCAAATGAAGACAGCTGGGGACTTTAGGGTGTAAGAGCTTGAAATACAGCGTGTAGTAAGGGAGGCAGCAGTGGCCTGGTAGGACAAGAGCTGTATTTGGTGTACAGACTGTCTTGGTAATCCTATCTCCATAAGGTGCAATTCTCTTGGCTGGGACATAGGGACAGTGAGACGGGACAGTGAAATTGATTCTCTCTCTCTCTCTCTCTCTCTCTCTGTCTCTCTGTCTCTCTGTCTCTCTCTCCTTCCCCTGTCTTTCCCCCTTCCTTCTTTTCTTTCTTTTTAGTAATGGGAATTGAACCTAAGACCCTGTTCATACTTGACAAGTCCTCTACCACTACCACTGAACTCTATACATTTCCCAGCCTTCTTTTCACATTCTGTTTTGAGATCGAGTCTCATTAGGTGGCTTAGGCTAACCTTGAATTCCCTCTGTAGCCCTAGTTGACCTTGAACTTGTGATCCTTTTATACTGGCTAGGATTATAGGATTTATAATGAGGATTATAGGCCTATACTGCCAGGCCAAGTTTTGGATTATTTTTTAAAATCAGTTTTAAAGAATATTACAGACATTCACAGTGTTATTTACCAGTGTTTTAAATCTACAGTTGGGTCTACAGGTCTGACCCTTTCTTTTAGGTAATTCAATGTGTTTATTATCTCCTCTGTTCTTTGGAATAGACTCAAATTTGGAACAATGTTTAGAGGAAGGAAGGTTTTCTATTCTTATATAATCGCAATTTTAAGCTTAGAAGGCATGGAACATTGTTTCTGAGAACGTTGTTCTCTTCCCCAAGTATCGGTTTACGCCACTGGTTCTATACGGTGGGGTGGTGGGCTGGGCAGAAAAGCAGTAGCCGTACAGCATTTTGCAAGGCATCGACTCTCTACTTGTTCTAAGCTGTCACTGTAGATCTAATAATTTATTTCACTTATTGTTGTACAATTATTTTCAAAAATTTATGGCTATATCTTTTGTTAATAAACTATAAATTAATTTTATTTGATTTTTTTATTGTTTTGATTTTTGAGATGGTATCTTAATACATAGTCCAAGACTGGTCTTGAACCAAAAATCCTCCTATCTCTGTCTCCCAAGTACTTGGATTTATAGCCATACATTATTATACCCAATACAAATTCATAGCTAAATTTTTCATAGTACATATTTTCACAGTCCATAGAAACCCACAGACACCATGATTATCTTATATGGCTGAGCTGGCTCTTTGATGTTAAAGAAGAGTACTTTTGGACATGGTAGTGTGTACCTATAATTTCAGCACTTGGGAGGTTGAAGCTAGAGAATTATGAATTGAGGCTAGCCTGGGCTACATAGCAGGTTGCAGGCCAGCTTTGAGCTACATTGTGAGATATTGTTTCAAAAACCCCAGGACTTAGTGGTAGAAGGCCTGCCTGGCTTGTGCAAGGCCCTGGGTTCAAACTCTAATGACTGAGAAGTAAGTATATGCAGTTAGAAATCCTTCTCTTCAGTTTTTACATTATAGTAAGTCTATCTTTTTAATGCCAGCTTGACTTAATGTCTTAATCAGTGTTGTTAAAAACACAGTCCTTTTTCATCTATTATTTATATATTACTTTTATTTGTATTTCTGGCCTGACCATATATTCATATAACTACCTTTAACCCATTTCTCTATTTTAGGTGAATTTATTTTTATAACAGAAGTCAGTTTAGGGGAGACAAGATAAACATATTTGGCGATGTTATGCCCCACTAAATTGTATGTATTTCAAAGTTATGAAATTAATTTAAAATTTTCTTACAAACTTACTACTTATAAATAAGTGCTAATATATGAATCGAGAAAAATGGTGACTTTTGAATTCTACTTCTGGTCTGCTTTTAAGGCCACTGAAACAGAGAATTTTATAAATGTGATCTTTTTTTAGCCAAGACATGTTCTCAACAAACAGGTGTTCTGAAAGTATTTTGATTTTCAGTTTTTCCCCAACCCTTTGAAATATGAAACTGAGTTTTATAAGTCATTTTAAACTGCCTGAACATAAAATGTCTGGTTGTCCTTGAAGAAGAATTATAAGTTTATATTGAATTAAAGTTTCTGGTCATGATAGTACCTTTATTCAGCTAGATAAAGCCAAAGCACACAGATATTAGACGAGGGTTTCAGTGCCTTATCTAATTGTCTAGGGAAGGAAACAGGCGGGCACCATTTCAGTAGGTCAGTGTTGTGAGTTGTTTGTGCTTTCCTGAGGGTGGTGCGTGGAGTATGTGGCAATGAACGCAAGTTTAAGATAGTGGCAGCTGCTTTAAGACTAGGAAAAGAGTTGAGATCATTGCTTTGGCAGCAATCGGAAAGGTTGGTATTATTTATAAATAGCCATTGTATCTGTTAACAATGTTCCATCTCATTTGGGTTTTTTTTGGCATTTGTAATTACTTGACTCCTACATATTTGTATATGTATTTGTAAATATAATTTAAAGGATTTATTTAAAATAAGAAAAATTCATATAGAAACTAATAAATGTCAGAGACTAATACTTGGAAAATGTAGGTATGACAACAAATTTGTTATGTGTTATTGTTACATTGAAGAAGATAAAAATGAACTGCTGCCTGGCTTGTTTATGTGTCTAGTGAGTATTTCTGCCTCCTCCCCTCAGTACTGGAAATTAAACCTAGGGCCTTGTGCCTGCAGACAAGCCCTTTGCCACTGAGCTACATCCCCAGTCCTCTTTTTATTTACTTTGTGAGATGAGGGTCTGAATGAACATGTGATTCTCCTATTTCAACCTCCATAGTGACTATAATTACAGGCTTGAGTCATCAGGCCTGGCTTTAAAAAGATTTTAAATTTAAATTGTGTGTGTGCATACGTGTATGTACTTGAAAAATCCAGAAGATGGTGTCAAAACTCCTGGAGTTGTAAGTTGCAGTTGTGAGCTGCTCAGCATGGACACTGGGAATCAAATCTGGACCTTCTTGAAGAGCAGCGAACACTCTTAACCACTGAGCCATCTCTCTTGGCCTTTTTTACTTTTATCAGTTGAGGCTTGCTGTGCTGTCCAAACAATCCACAGGTTCTGGGTTTGAGTGCTTCCTCTGCCTCAGCCTCTCAGCTACTTAGACTATAGGTATGTATCACCATATCTGACTTAAAAATAAACTGTTAGCTGGGCAGTGGTGGCACATACTTTTAATCCCAGCACTCGGGAGGCAGAGGCAGGCGGATCCCTGAGATCAAGGCCAGCCTGGTGTACAAGAGCCTGTTCCAGGACAGCCAGGGCTGTTACACAGAGAAACCCTGTCTCCAAAAAAAAAAAAAAAAAAAAAGAAAGAAAGATTGTTAATGATGACTCAGAGGATGAGCTTAGTTGGTCCCATTAAAAACACAACATCAGAGTCCTCCATAGTGTGTGTTGCTGTTGGTGATGTTTTATTTTACGGTGTGAAGTTCTTCTGCATTAATATGTCTGTAGAGGAGACCTGAGTGTTAGACTGCTCTCTGACACAATAGCTGTGCACCACTTGATTCCTTGCTTTTTCTTAACTCAGGTCAGACTGTTCTGCTCTCCCAGCCTACTGTGGTTCAACTTCAGGCCCCTGGAGTGCTGCCTGCTGCTCAGCCAGTTCTGGCTGTCCCTGGTGGAGCCACACAGCTACCTAACCATGTGGTGAATGTGGTGCCAGCCCCTGTGGTGAGCAGTCCTGTGAGTGGAAAACTTTCCATGCCTAAACCTGTCCTACAAAGCACCACAAGAAGTCTGGGTTCAGATGTAAGTACTTATCTGTGAATGTACTTTTCTGTTGTGTAAGTATAGTGGTAATCTCAGCTGACAGTATTGTGAATATTTGTAGCAAAATGTATCTAGTGAGTAGAGTATCCATTGTTTAGAATAAGAGCCCCTTGGTTTATACTGATATGGAGAACAGTGGATATCAAGATTGAGTATTGAGAAAGGGGAATTGAGTAAGGAATATTGAGTATTGAATAAGCTATTGAGTAAGGGGCATTCTTGTTACAGACCAAGGAGAACTGGAGAGAGAAAGTGCAAGTTTGTTTGCAGCTGCATTGTGGATGTCAATCTGAGTGTTCTCAACTTAGTTATTGTAAAAAAAAAAAAAAAGGTTAAAAAAAAAAGGAGAGAAGGATACTCCTGGCCTGTCACATAGTACTTACTGTGCCTTGGTGGTTGGGGCACAAAAGAGTTAGCAGGATCTGCAAACATTTTAATCTCTCTAAAGAAGACAGTGTCTGCCAGTATGCTATCAGAAAGCCCTTAAACAAAGAGGGTAAGAATGCCAGGGCTAAAGCAGCCAGGATTCAGTGTCTCACAGCACAAACTCTGATCTACAGCTCTGGAGCAGCAATGCCCTAAGATAAACAAGAGGGAGGCACAGAATATGTGAAACTTTTGGCCAAAAGAATGCAGGAAATCAAAGAAAAGCACCAGGAACAGGTTGCCAAGAGACATAGGCAGTTCTCTCTGAGAAATTCTGAGTCCAGTCAAAAATTAGTCTTTAAGAGTAACAAATAAATGCCAAGACCTTGAGTTAAAAACCTGGCACCCGGTGGGCAGAGAAACAATACTGGAAAGATGGAGATGGTTATGGAAGCCGTTGTTCTTTCCTTTCAGCACATGGGAAACTCTGTAATAAGAGAAAGAATGACAGTAGCAAAAATTAAAAAGCAATCTGTGATTTTTTTTATTTAAAAAGTATAACCAGTAAATAAAGAGTATGCTTTTCAAGAAGACCAAAAAGGTTAAAAATGATAGAGACTTATTTTTTCTTAGAGATGGATATATTTTATTATTATTGAGACTAATAAGAACAGGGTTATATGTAAGATGTGACTCCTAGGACATGTCTGAGTATCCCCCAAACTGCTTAGGACCTCCAGCCTTGAGGGATGTAGTTAAGTTTCAGGCCAGTCTTGCCACATGGGGCAGGGGATAGCATCTGGTATTAACACCCAAACTCTTGAATTCTACCCCTTCTGGGGAGGACCCTTCAGAGATGTGGAAGAATCATCATGGTCAGAGCTGAAGGGGTGTGTGGCTGTAGGAACTGTACTGTGGGGCTGGCAGGAACAGGGCTCAGGAGTCTCTCCTGTTGTTGGTTTTTTATTCTTTGATCTTTGAGGGCCTGCCACCCATTTCCAAATAAATACATAGAGACTGTTGTTACTTATGAATGCCCGGCCTTAGCTTGCCTTGTTTCTAGCCAGTTTTCTTAGCTTAAATTATCCTGTTTACATTTTGCTTCTGGGTTTATCATTCTCTATTCTATATATCTTTATTCTTACTCTGTAACTGGCTTGTGGCTGGGTGGTGTAGGCAGAGTTTCTCTTTGTCTCAGCAACTTCTCCCAAATTCAGAGACTTATTATTAATTATAAATGCTGGACCAGTAGCTCAGGCTTGTTACTCTTACATTTTAAATTAACCCTATTTCTTTTTAAATTTTATTTTATTTTACATACCAATCCCAGTTCCCCCTCTATCCCCTACTGTACCTTCACCTTCCCCTCTCTCCTCCCATTTACTCCTCAGAGAGGGTAAGACCTCCCCCATGGAGAGTCAATGAATTCTGTCACATCACATTCAGGCAGTACCAAGGCCTTCCTCCTTGGGTCTAGACTGAGCAAGGTTTCTCTTTGTAGGAAATGGGCTCCAAAAAGCAAGATCATTCATTAGGGATTGCTCCTGGTCCTACTGCCAGTGGGCACACAAACTGCCCAAGCCACCCATTGTCAACCTGCTTTGAGGAAGGCTAGATTGGTCTTCTGCAGGTTTCCTGGTTATCTTTCCAGAGTTAGTGAGCTCCCAACAGTTCAGGTCAGTTTTTTCTTCCTCCTCCTTTTCCTCCTCTTTTTTTTTTTCTCCCCCAAGACAGGGTTTCTCTGTAGCTTTGGAGCCTGTCCTGGAACTAGCTCTTGTAGACCAGGCTGCCCTCGAACTCACAAAGATCTGCCTGCCTCTGCCTCCCGAGTGCTGGGATTAAAGGTATGTGCCACCACCCCCTGGCCCCTACCTAACCTCTATCTGTCCAGCAGTTGGCCAATCAGCTTATTTATTAACCCAATCACAGTGACACATAATTCACACAGTATAAAGGAATATTTCACAGGGTAGCTGGCCCCTGGTATCCTCCTCTCTTTCTCCCTTTCTTGTTTCTCCTCTTTTCTTTTTCTCCTTTTATTTATTCACTCTATCTGGCAGCCCTGCCTATCTTTCTCTCCTCCCTAGCTATTGGATGTTCAGCTCTTTATTAGACCAATCAGGTGTTGTAGGTAGGCAAAGTAATAGCTTCACAGAGTTAAATAAATGCAGCACAAGAGCACGCAACACATCTTTGCATCATCAAACAAGTATTCCAAAACATAAATGTAACACTTCTTAAGCTAATATTTCACAGCATTTCTTTTTTTGTCTAAATAAAAAGAAATGTTTTAACTTTAACATAGTAAAACTATATATAACAAGACCACTTATCAAGTAAAAATTATATTTACAATATTCAGTCCATTTGTATTTAGCAAATTCAGAGAAAATACTCCATTATCTATCTTACCTCACTGAGTCCAAAGTTTTATATGTAATTTATTTTCTACCATAACTAAAGAAAACTATGACTCTATTTAGTCTTTAACTCCATCAAAGACCCCAGAAGGATGTAATTTTACCTAAAAACAGAGACATCTGGCTGCCTGAATAGTCACCCAAAGCTCCTCTGCAATGTTGGGACATTCATCTTTGGCCTCTAGACCTAGACTCTGTTACTTTTTATTAAAGTGGGAAATTTGAAGGACTATCTTACCTTGTATTGGTAAAATTCATCAATCGCTCTCCTCTGTGTCCTGCAGAATATCTGGCAGACTCTTCCGTGAAGCAGGAATCTCAAAGGACTGTCTTGCCTTGTCTTGGCAAAGTTCAACCGGCCTTTTCCAGTGTACCACTTGCCTAGTTTGTACAGCATAATGTCAGCAGTCAAAGGCAAGAGCAGTTTCTTTGCCCAGTGACTAACCTTGGCAAAATGAAAGTGAACCTCATAAGGAGTTTCTTTTATGCCCATCATCAATCTGAAGTAAACTGGTGCTGTCAGGAGTAAATGTGTCTCATTGCCATGAAAAACCCTATATTAACAAAACATTTTTAAGTGGGTTATCTGTAACAGGCGCAGGTAAGTGGTGGAAAGGCCTCTTCTAATCCCAAGCTTTTATATACAGCCATGGTGTTTAGAAACTACCATATTCTTTAGTCTTTGAAGTATTTGAAAATCATCTCTCTAAAATGTACCTGTTTAACCTGGAAAACATACCTAATGTGACTACAAATTTGATTATTATAGATTAAGTATTAACCTCATTTCTTAACTATACATTGCATTTTAAATGAGGTACATAATACAATACCCCAAACAAGAGTAGAGACATATATACAGCATAACAAAAATAACTTTAAATTCATAATAAAAATAAAAAATAGCTTTAAATTTGGCAAAATATCTGAGATTAATAGTTCTCTTTTTACCCTATATTTTTATATTTCCCTAAATGATAACACATCCACAACCCACTAAGTAACCAAAGACCACCCACTCCATCTCTTGAGAATGTGGGTGTCATGTTCTCCAGACTACTTCTTGTTGTCTGTAGGCAAAGGCATCTTTAGTGATCCCTGAGAAAACTGAAATAATGGCCAAGTCCTGTGAAGACCAGCTGTAACCTTACTAATACATATCACCTGTCAAGATTCAGGAGCTCTTCCCTGATCAAACCTGACCAATATCAACCCTGAAGGAATCTACAACCTTTTGTTTTCTGTGGAAATAAAAGCAAAATCACTTCTCCAAAGCAATGTATTTTTTTGAGTTCTATTTTAAGGATAAGTCATTCTTAAAATATCTAGGCTGGTTTATTTCAGCAATTCCCCTTTCAGTCCCATGTCTGTCGGCAACTGTCATTTCCTTATCAGCAATCCAAAAATTCAGAATCAACACAATAACATACAGGACCCAGATTCCCCGTGTGTTTCCCATCTTACGTGGCTCTTTCCTTTTATATTGCTTTAACTCTGTCTTTAAAGACTTTACTATTTTTAAACTATTTCTTTTTATACTGTCCATATGCATTCTCTCTCTTTCTTAAGCCTGTACACATTGCAAACCAAATTGGAACATGTTTATACATTTATTTTTCCTTCTGGATCTGCCTTTACTGCGAATTTCTAGTCTTTTTTGTCATGAGCAAAAAAACTGGTAAGCAGCATGGCTTGGACCTTTGTGGTGACTTTAGCAGCTGGGTCTGCCCGCTTTTGGGCAGAGCTCTAGAATGCTGGTGTTTGCCAGTAAGTGTTTTGTTTTTTGTTTTTTAAACTTAACATACTGGCTGCTCAAGGGGTACAATAAAAGAGGAGACTGAGTGTAAACATCAGAACGAACTTTTAGAAAAGGTAGGATGTCATGTGGACAACAGAATTATTCTGAATTATTCAGTGGGTTATCTGCAACAGGCGCAGGTAAGTGGTGGAAAGGCCTCTTCTAATCCCAAGCTTTTATATACAGCCATGGCGTTTAGAAACCGGAGGCCGTTGTTTTCTTTTTAGGCCCGGTGTGGTCACCGGGCATTTGAAGGTTGACAATCATCATGAATTCACTGACCCATTTGTACTCTCCAACTATATTCAGTTAATTACATGCTGGTCTCTCAGCCAGACATCTTACATGAGTTGTTTGATGTGAAAGAACATATGTTCACATGGCTTTTGTAGAGT